GTTGCTGTGACGGTCACAATCTTTCACAGTTTCTTTCTTGTTTTCTCAGCCAACATGACAACCTGAGCTGCTGCAGGATTAGAGACAACGACAGCAACAATCTTGTGTAGCTATGCAATTGATCAAACGAAGCAAGATAATCCGGCACAGTATCACTGGGTCGTTGGTGGTCTGCTGCCAGCTCCTTCTTCCCACATGTTTTCCTTCTCAACCTTCTCCTGGCAAGTATTTTTGAACCTTGTCTTCGTACCCTCCCATTTCTATCCTTCTCTTGCCACCTTCCATTTTTAACTTACTTTTGGTGCCTTCTTATTTTCAACACCATTCAGGACACGTTCCCGGGACGAGCAAGAAGGCGAAGGCAGCCTTGAGAAAGCATTTGGGGCATATTCGCTCTCTTGGCAAAACGTGCCAAGAAAAGCGTGCCATCGAGGGACAAGGCGTGAGCACCAAGGCGGGATTGATGCTGTCAGAGCCACTGACAGCCTCCCCGATCTCGAAGACCTTCGAGCACAATGGCCCGATTGAACAGAAGGATTCAAAACCTGGGGCCCAATGCCCCCAGGCAGAACTTCGTGTACATGCGTTTTCGGCTGGCTCGCCAGAACGCGGCCTACCTGGCAGCGAGATTTATCCAAGAAGCATGCGAGAGGGTGGGTGTCGCGCACGGACTGGTGCTGGTTTGAAACTAATTATGCTAGGATAAGGTTCAAACGGGTTGCTTTGGGGCTACCTTTCCACCTTCTCATTGAGGTTTTTTAACCTTATTCTCTGTATTCATTTTACTTAAGCTAAATAAGATTCAAATTGGTTGTTTCGGGGTTGTTTTTTCAGTTTCTCCTTTGGCATTTGTAGGTGCTCAACCGCAACCTGCTGCTCAACAGCGGCGAGGGCACGTTGGAGTACGTGCCAGGCATCAGCCCTCAAAAAACCGAGAAAGCCAAGAGGCTCAGTCGCCACTATATTGCCAGCAAAAAGTCCCTTTTAAAGGACTTGAGCGAGAAGATTCTCCAGTTCGTCGAAGATGACTGGGGTATCCTCAACAGCTTCCAGGGCTTGCCAGACAGTGGGCCAGTTCTAACGCCCCCAGGGGTCAAAGGCATGTCCGAAAAGTGGCTTTTCGGAATGCTCGAAATCGGAGTGTTCCGAAGGCAAGTCGCTGCGGTCACAAAGTGCACCACCACAGACATCAGAGCCGCCAGCGAAGATCACCTCATAGGGGATGCTTCGCTGGTTGGCAATTTGCGGAACAGCCGCAATTTGCAAAATTTTGTCAATCACTCCCCAGGTATTTCTTTGAAGCATTACCAGGTGACCGACTCAAGTCAATTGAACGGGAAGCTTGGAAAGCTTATGGCCGAGAAGCCGTAATTTCGCAGCTGACTCTAGGCATTTTCAACCTTATTCTGGGCAATTCCAACCTTTGTTAGATCACCTCATAGGTGATGCTTCGCTGGTTGGCAATTTGCGCAACAGCCGCAGTTTGCAAAATTTTGTCAATCACTCCCCAGGTATTTCTTTGAAGCATTACCAGGAAAAGCAAAAAGAAAGCGACCGCGATAGGCCTACTGGGCAACCCCACCTTTTCAGAAGACCCACTGAGAGAAAAGCAAGAGTAGGTGAAGAGAGGCACATTTTCCACCTTCTCAGAAGACCAAGCAAGAGTAGGTGAAGAGTAGGTGAAGAGAGGCACATTTTCCACCTTCTCAGCAGACCAAGCAAGAGCAGGAGAAGAGTAGGTGAAGAGAGGCACATTTTCCACCTTCTCGGAAGGAATGTTGAGAAGGTCTCACCATTTTTTGGAGAAGGTGAAAACAGAAAGCGAGAAGGTTGAAACAGGAGGACCCATGACCATCCCCCGCGGGGGGTGCGTATGCCATCCACTCGGGCGAGCCGTATATGCCAAAGACTTGTGAACTACTATACAAAGCTCTCCGCAATGTTTTTCAGATCAAGATCTCCTTTTACAACCGCGTCCTCAGTCCTACTAAGGAGCAATGCTGTTGCAATTGGCTTACGAGCATATGCCCAAACTACAGCCCCCGTCACAAAACATTCAGTCCACCAGAATGTCCTATCCCAGCTACAGACTCCCTTGTGCTTTAACCAAGCTCATGACTATCTCCAAAAGTCAACAAGACGTGCTGGCGCGCCCACCCAGAATACACTGGGCAGAGCTCGCCATGACATAAGCCTATAATCGATATCAATACTTGCTTCCATCGGGTACCCCCGAGCGTGTATCAGCATTCACATGAATTTTATGCGCAACCCTCGCGCCGGGATATTGCCCAACTCCATTCTCGTTTGTTTGGAATAGATCCCAGTGGTGGCAGCTGGTGCACCCCAGGTAACACTCAAAAGGGGCTAGATAGGGCTGTTGACAGGCGGTCTAGACTTGGACTCGCTTTTCGCATTCGAGAGAGAGAGATGGCCGGCGGAGGTCGACGACCCCCCAAAAAAGAACAAGTAAAAGCCCCCCAAAAATACCCACAGAAATTCGGCAGCCATTTGTTAAGGTGAAGCGAAGTGTTTCGTGGGTTGGCCTTGGGATGGATTGTGTCTTCGACTTTGCAGTGTGGTGGCCCGCGATTCGTTAGTCTTGGTCCCAAACATGCCGAACCCGCGAGTGTTTTTCGATATGGAAATCGGAGGGCGCCGACACCTTATGCAATGTGATAGCATGGTGTTCCAGTCATTGACCAGTTCTGGCAACAATGTCGACAGCACCGTGATAGCTAAGGTCCGGCCGGACGCATCGAGATGGAGCTGTTCGCGGAGCTGATGCTGCTGTCGTGTACAGACGAACGCCCATGTAAACAAATCTTCGTTGGAGGACACGGTGCCAAAAACTGCAGAAAATTTTCGGGCTTTGTGCACTGGCGAGAAGGCGATTTGTCATCTTGCAGTGAGGAAGAGCCGACCATGTGCATTTGTTTTGGACCAGGGCAAAGGACGCTCGGGCAAGCCTTTGCACTACAAGCGTAGCACGCAGCGGGCCCAGATTTCAGCTGACCCTCGTGCGGAAGGAATGGGACGTGCCGAGGTTTCACCGCGTGATTCCAGACTTCATGTGCTGCTCTCTTATCTGATGAGTGCACAATTGCAAACGAAGGCGAAGGATTGTGTTTCCGTGGTGCCGAGGCCAGGGAGGTGACTTCACGAAAGGGAACGGTACTGGTGGAGAGTCTTGACCTATGCTTTCCAAAGCAGTCGTTGTGCAATGATGCTTGGTTTGAGTGCTGCGCCAGCTTGATTGGTATTCTGAGGTCGATTTACGGAGAGAAGTTTCGCCTGGCACCAAGCTGGCAGCATCACGCGGTTGTTGTTACGGAATCAATCTATGTTGGACCGCAGTGTAGAACCGTCTGCGGGTCGATATGATCGCGGTGTTCTGTAGAAAGAGAATTGCAGTTGTGTCCCAGCTACATTTTTGTTCAAAGTGCTGATCACTTCAGCAGACTTCTGTCGGTTGTGCCGAGTTCAACCCCGAAGCACATCCCTCTGCAAAGAGTCTTCCATCTTCAAGCACTACGTAGTCTTTAGATATGGTTTCAGAAGTTGTGCGAGCCAAGACGACATTTCCGTGCGTTCGGCATGAGTGTTATCGCTTCCATGCCACGGATCTCATCAGTTGTACATCCAACCTTCCAGTATCGAGCTGAAGATCAGTCGTAAACAGGTTTCGTGTATCTTCGAAGAACCACCCCTTTTCCACACAGGTAAATAAAGTCTTGAGACATCGAACGGTGTTGACATCCAACCACTTGTTGTCCACCAGTACCAACCAGTGTTCAAGCTGGCATGTGTGTCTACCCCTACTTTGAGTCTCGGCACATACTTCAAGGATTCGTGCTGCACTGTGTGAAAGCTGAGTGCCATTGCTTTGTGAGAAGCTTTTTTCTGGCCACTACTAATGGCTGACAGTCAGGTCCTGGTCTTGAATCCCTGGCATGTGCTAGGACTCCAGGAAGCACGGCCTTCACGGCTGTACCGCAGTTTGTTGGCATCTTTTCAGATGAACATAAGATGTTGACCCACACAGCAAGCTCAGCAGGCACAGATATGATATGCTGCAAACTGGTTCTGCTCGTACCGCTGATAAATCCTTCGCACAGTTTGCAGAAGAGTAGCAGATGCCAAGTTGCGCGCTGGCTTAGAGTGCACAAATGTCTGTGGCCACATGAGGTGATGAGAACTTCAAGCACAAGCACACAGGACCTGGAATTCTGTCCATGGCAAATGCAGGGTGGAGGTCTTAGAATTGAAGATAGGCGCGACTGCGAGATCGCACGTGGCGCAGCTCCAGACTCGTGCAAGGCCTAACACCAACGGATCGCAGTTCTTTTTGTGCACGACAGTGGGCACCTCAGAGTGCAAGCACTTGAGTTCCTTCTGTGGGGGTTGTCTGCATTGGAGGATACGCCACACCTGAATGGCAAACACGTGGTCTTCGGCAAGGCAGGAGCGGGACCGCGTGCGGTGGCCATGGACCTGAAACAGACAAAATTAGTCGGGAGGACAAAAGTTTGATCTACTGGGCCTTTGTTGTCTTATGGTCTTATGAGGTCTTGCGGAGTAACGGGCTACCGAAATGTGCGAATTTCGTGTCCTGGCCAGCGAAAACTATACTAATGTTCCGGAGGACCCGCGGTTCCCCTTTAGCCTTTGTCTACGGAAGAATGGGGGACTGTGTTCGACGAAACGAATAGGTCAAGCTTCGTCCTACCGCTGTATGCCAACGTGCATCCGGTGTAGACTCCCAGGGTCCTAGGCACTTCCACAAGCTTTGTAGGCAGCCGAACCCAAACGATCATGCTGAGTTACACTAAGTGCTGCCTACAACCCCTTGACTCCTATGCAACCCGCACCATCCAAACAACAAATGTACCCTTACCTCTGAGCTCTAGCTCCCGTAAGGGAGAGGTATGGGGCTGATCAGACCCGCAGGATTTGATGCTGAAAGCACTATAGCCCCTGAACAGTTCAGTTATCTGTTTTCAGAAAGTGCGCGACCCAGCTTTAGACATCGACCTTGGAGCAGCAAATTTCCTATTTCAGGGACTCCTCCAGAAGATGCCCTAGCTTGAAGACTTCCTCCAGTCGGGTTCTTCTCGGGAAGCACGAGGATACCCTTGAGGCAACTTAGGTTTTTCAAGATTTTCGAAGCCTGCAACCCCAAAACAAGCACAACCCCAAATCAAATCCCATGCAGACGAGCGCGAAAAAGACGAATATTGTGCTGTTCCAGCGCATAATCATTCGAGAATTATTCCATGAGCGCCCCTGCAGCTCCCTAGACCACGCCACGAGCAGACTGTCGCAGAGCCAAAATCTGGAAGTTCACGGCACTGTGGCGGGAGCACGATTTCCGGAGCGATGCAGGAGCCAGGGACCAAGATCGAGCACCAATACGAATACGAGATCGGGCACCAATCCGGGCACCAATCCGGGCACCAATAGCTACTGCTTGCTTTTGAGTCCCCCTTTCGATCCCGGATGAGGACCTGCTCAAAAAAGCTGCCGCAGAATGTCACGGTGCACCCCAAAACATGCATGGCACCGTCGCGATCGTGGTGCGAGCACGATTGCGATTTTCGGAGAATGCCAAAGCTTCTCGGAGGGATCGGTTCGAGGGTGATTCAAGGGGCTCCGGCAGGTGGTTGAGGGCATGGACGTTGTGCGTGGCTGAGACAGAGGAATCTCTCACAGGTCGGAAGCAGAGTCTCATTGTCTGAGGTGCGGCTGATTGAGAAAGAGGGGACCAGTTCTGGCAAGACACTTCCTCAGACGAGATCTCTTTGCAGAAGTGATGTGACACAGATGCGGCTCTTGTGCGCAGGACTCGGCGACCGGTTGTGATTGAGGCCTGCGGCGTCGTTTGCGTGTTTTTAGGGGTCTGATGCAACCTGTGCTCCAGTGAGGATTGCGGAGAGCTGGGAGGCTCGATAATTCGGTGGCAGATTAGCTGACGTCCTGCTGCAACGTACTGCAAAAGGTGGCGGCGCTCGCGACCGAGAACGCAGTCCGCGGCGATGATCTTGAGAGCACTGCAGCAGCACATGCCCAGCCTGCGGCGTGCAGCTCTGGAGAGGCTGCGTGGCTGACAGGCATTGGACTGCATTGAGTTTTGGCCAGTGGGATGGCACAGCATTAGTTGGATGCCACAAGCATTCAGATTTGCATGGGCCGGCCCCGCCCATGTATGTCGGAAGGCAGTAATTCAAAGTCATCAGCGACAGCCTTCACAATGTGTTAGAAACGCTTTGAGCATGATCAGTGGCTGTCCGATGTTTGCCGTGCGAACATGGCGATACGGAAATTAAGTAACTCGAGCTTTGCTTTGGCCATCGTGCTTCATGTCATCTTGAGGGTACTTTAACATGGTACCATCGACAGTAACAACTCGCAGGCCGCATGTGCACGATTCTAAACTGGAGACTAGCCCGAATTGGACCTGCTTTCAAAGACACATGTACTACAAGACCAATGCTGACAAGGCTGGGATCCGCACACACTGCACGCTGTTGTCGTGAAACGGCAGTGTCGGCTTGGGACTTGATAACAATTTCCTGCAGTGAGCATTCCGCTTGCATTCTTTCTCGAGCTTTTTAGCCGTAGCTTGCTTGATCCATGTCACGTGAAGCCGTGGAGCACCATGGCTTCCGTGTGCATGACAACACGGCAAGTGGCTGTTATGTAGGATCAAGTTCGTCAATGGTCAACTTCTGCAACTTCCAGCTTTCTTTAAATTAAAGCCTTTGGAGGCGTAAATCCGCCGCAGCAAAACCGCGATGGCAAATAATCGCGGCTCGTCGGTGGCGACGCCCTTGGCAGGCCGCGGCAAGTCGAAGAGAACTGCAGCCAAGTATGCGCGAGTCGTCCTTCGCATAGAGTCTGCTGTTACTGTCTCGCAGGAGTCGGAGCCTTGGCCGCCGCCTTTGCCCTGGACAGGAAGCCTGCGCCTCCTCGTCTCATGTCATGAAGCGTGTCATTAACAGTGCCATGGACATCGCACGGTATCGTTACGATTCCTTCACATCTTGCAGGTTTCGCCTGATAAACGATGCGAGACTTGGCATGAACCTGCTCCCCACGTTGATTGCTCTTCGGAGGCGCTTCTCGACGGCAGGCAGCTCACGCAAGTCTGCAGAAGCGCTAGCAATAAGAGCAGCATCTTCGCTGCCAGAGTCTAGGAATGTCTAGGATTTTAGACAGCGTATATGACCTGAGAGCCAAGGCCTTCGGTTGAGCAGCGGCATGCTCAGTTCCGAACAAGTCAGAAACTACGTGGTGTTGATTTTCAGAGTTCAGGTCATTCCTTGGCAGATGTGTCCAGCCGGCCTTATTTTGATCTCGGTAGTTCGCGATGTTTGCTGTAGAGTTTCCGTGTCTTGATGCCAGGTGGCTGGAGTCTGTCAGACGTTTCGGCAGTGAGACATTCATTGTGTTCGAGCATCGTAGGATGACTTTCCAGGACGGCAGAGCCGAACGCAAGTCTGTCCGGAGCATTGGTTGTAGCCTAACCAAGTGCAGGACGTGGACCGCGTGTCCAATCAGATGGCACATCTGCTGCGGCAGCAGGGCTTTCAACCCGGGCAGGCGGGTGACGGCACGATGAGGCTGTTTCAAGGTTTCAGCTTGCTTACCATTTTCAGCTGGCATTGCTTCCATGGTATGAGCCTTGCATGCTGCAAGCTCTGTGGACACCTCCCCGCAAGTCTGAACTTGAAGAGCATTCTCGGGGAGGTTTCAGGAAATTGGGGCAAACTCTGCAAGCATGTTCCTCTTGCGGAAGCTCACAAATTGTTCGCAGTAGGACGATGTTTTCTGATTTTCTAAAGGCCCTGGCGCTCATGATGGAGAACAAGCCGGAATACGTTTGTTGGTGGTTGGCCATGGTCACTAGCTCGGTCGATTCAAGAGGTTTCCCTTTCATGAGCAAACGGCACAAGTGTCGCAGTGTCACATGTCACAGTCTTCCGAGACAAATGAGGCGAAAATTGGGGTCAAGGCAGGTCGCTTCGCGCCGGGTTCTTCCCTTGCTTGTGTAGGACGCGAATTTGTAGACAGGTTGCCCTCTTGAACTACAACCTCACAGGCAGACCGTGGCTTGTGGCTTTTTGAAGCATGTTGTGTTCTATCCGCCGGCTCCTGGCTCAGGTCGTGGTTTAGCTCATTGTCTTTGTTCCGCCGTGCAGGCGGGCACGAGTGTACAATCGAATGATTGGTTCCCTTTTTTGTAGCAGGGCTCTGACTGAGGCAAGTCTTGGTAAGCGATCCCTACACAAAGTTCTGAGTTGCTGAACTCTCTCATGTTTCGAACGAGGACTGCCTCGGAGTCGTGTTCGACGGTGAGTGTGAGGTGGGAGAAGAAGCATTGTGTGCGACATGCTGATGTGCTGAGCATGGCACGAGAGTCCTGTTACCAGGCTCTGCGCGTAAACCTGGCATGGAGGAGGCATGTGCCGTTTAGATCGAAAGCTTGCAGGCCAACCTTCACACTATTGATGCCGCCTTGCACGAGCACAGCATGAAGCTCTTCTGCTGGGGAGGCGCGGAACCGTGCTGTGATATGGCGTGAGCTCTGAACTTTCGATGCTCCACGATGCCACGAGGCGTTGGCAGGCAAAGCCTTTGCATGTCACCAGTAGCACGAAGCGTCTCCGGAGTCCCCAGATCCTAATACCACGATGCACCAATTCCTACTAATCCGAATGCGCTGCACATCTTTGCGGTCTTAGCTGAGCAGAATGCCATCTGACTGACAAGCGCCAAGCTTGTGATTTCACTGCCGAGTTGGGTCCCCTAGGCTGTCGTACTTCTCCAGGTCTGTTGCTGAGCAGGTCCCTCGTAATGCCCTCCCTCCCTTGCCTGTGTTTGGTGGAAAATAATCTGCTTGCAGTTTGCTTGAGTAGGCATCTGCTGCATGTTGTGATGCAGATTTCTTCTGCTGATTCGGCAGCCAGAGATGCACTGACTTTCCAACTTCCCTCAGGTCCTAAGCTGTCTGAGGCTGCTG